ACTCACCGGGACGGCGGGGCGTCGGGCGACAGGCGGGCGGGGACGACACACACACACACACCGCTGCGGAGGCGGCGGGCTGGGGGACGGGAACCCGGGAAGCGGGGCGGCTCGGAAGACTGAGGGCGATAGAGGTTTCTCCCTCCCGCCGCCTAGAGCGTCCGCGCCGCCGCGGCCATAGAGACACGGCTGGGGGCAGAGCGTCGCCTCTCGCTCCCGCTTCCGGGGGCTGCTCTGAAGTGGGGCCGGAACACCCGCCCTCCCCCGGGAGAGGCGCTGGGGTAAGTGTGGGGCCGGGCCGGTGAGACACAGCCCCGCCCCCCAGGAGCCTGTGCGGCTCCCCCCCCCCATCTCAGCTGGTCCTTGGCGTGACCCGCGGCCCCCGCCCCCAGCAGGCTCCAGGCAGCAGGGGCCAGCCCGGGGTCGCTCAGCCCCACCCCACGGACCCCCCTCCCCCCTCCCTGGGGGCTCCCAGGGGCCGCTTGGCAAAGCTGCTTCACCCACGTTCTGGATGCTCGTTCACCCGCCTGGTCAGAGCCCGAGACAGCCCAGCTCGCCCGCCCCCGGGCTGGCTCCCTTCGGTGCCCCTGCAGGTCCCTCGTGTGGGGCACCGCTGCCAGCGTCACAGCAGCTGCTCCGCCTGCAGCCCTTTCCCTTGGGCGGGGAAGGACTTTCAGCACTAAAACAACCCCCCCCCCCGCACTAACTCCTATTTCCTTTGTCCCAGTTACCGTGGGGGAGGTCAGGATCCTTCTGCACGGAGGAAGCCATGGCGGAGCATGGGGCTCATCTCACCGCTGCTTCAGCCAGCGATGACAGGCCTTCCATCTTTGAAGTGGTGGCCCAGGACAGCTTGATGTCAGCAGTGAGACCTGCACTTCAGCATGTGGTCAAGGTAAAGATGCCCCCCCCGCCCCCAGACTTTAGGGAGGAGCTGGTATCCATAGAGCACATATAAAAATATGACATCAAGTGAGTTTGGTGTTACATTAGGCCAAGCTGTGTATATTTCATAGGGGGAATAGTACCTTCTACAGTCTCCACCTAGCATCTTCTGCACATAGCATTGAAGTCTCAGTGACTGTGTTACTTGATTGCATTTACAAAACTTTAGTGCAGCTGTGCTATTTCAAGGAAGGGCATGTGCCAGTATTTTCACTGGAAACACCTAGTGGCAGCCTGTGAGGGAGGGAAATGTTCTCTCCAGCTGGGGACACTCAAGCAGTGAAGTAAAGTGGCTTGTCCAAAACACCTAGTGGTTTACTACTCCCTCATAAACATGTGTTATGGATTGAACCTTGGAAGACAAGTTTTTGTGTGTCATGATTCTAAAAATAAGTGACGGTGTTCAAGTTGAATTTGGGCCAAGCCTGTGCTTGGTGTCAGTTAGCCTGTACTTCTTCTCAGGGATAGGCTAATGATTAAAGCAGAATCAGGACTCCTGTACCCTATTCCTGGCTCTGACACTGACTCTCCATAGACCCTAGGCAAGTCACTTAATTTCTCTGTGCCTTAGTTTTTCTATCTGTAAAATGAAGGATAATACATACTTACCTTACACAGAGGTTGGGAGAGCTAATTCATTAGCGCTGGGAAACCACTTTGGTGATTGTTGAATGGAAGGTGCTATAAAAGGGCAAAGTGCTATCGTAGGACACAGAACGCCTGTGCCTGAGCAAATGCATTGGCTCAGTATAGCACACAGATGGTAACCTCTCTCCACTGCTGTTGCTATAATGGCACAGGAGCTGAGAATGCTGGACTTCCAAAAATAAAGTTAAAGGGCTCCTCTGTGTGGAAAGCAAGTTGCCCTGTGGTAGGTACATGACATTTCCTTTGTGCTGTTGAAGAATGGGATAAATTGCCTATAATTAGTGCACTGATTAGCACTCCCCATCTTCAGATCACTGTGCAAACATTAGCTAGTCCTCTCAGCAAGCCTGTGAGGGAGGGAAATGTTCTCTCCAGCTGAGGACACTCAAGCAGGGAAGTAAAGTGGCTTGTCCAAAAAAACAGATGAAGTCCAAAGCAGAACTAAGACTGACTGGCGCTCATGAGGTCTTGGCTCTGTGCTTAGACCACCTTTTCCTCTAGCACACAAAGGGACGAGTGCCCAGATCTAAGTCCTTCTGCCTGGACTGTTGCTGACAATGCTACTTTAGTTCCAGACATGGAGTACTAAGGCATTTATATCGAACAAATGTTCATGGAGGGAAAACACAAATATATACAGTGCATTTGAGTCTCCAGTGAGGATACATACGCAGACAGTTAATGTTTTAGGGGATATACTTCCGTTATTGGGGAATGAGGGGGATCACTACCATGTCCCCTGTGAAATGCTCTTTACTCAACTTTCACCCCTGGAATTCACATCTTGCTTAAGTCACACATAGATACAGTATTGCCAGTCATATGCTGGTAGCAAAGTGAAGGATTTAATTTTCCACAGGGCCAAAGTTCTATTAGCCAGTGTCTTATTCTGATCACTGCTCAGGTCTGTGTTTCTGAACCATTTCTTATACTGGATACATAGGCCGTAATTGCTTTGAGTGAGTGAATGGCTCTTTGACACCACTTCCTTCCCTGTTCCATGTATCTTATGTTAGGTGCTTGCTGAATCCAATCCCGGCCGCTATGGCTTCCTCTGGCGTTGGTTTGATGAGATCTACACCCTCCTGGATCTGTTGCTCCAGCAGCATTTTCTGTCCAGGTGTAGCGCCTCTTTTTCAGAAAACTTCTATGGCCTAAAGAGGATAGCGGTGGGAGACAGCAAGGGGCTGCATCAGCTAGCCAGTGCTGGGCTGCCAAAGAAGCAACACTGGAAGTCTCTCCTCTTGTTGGTTCTCGTTCCTTATCTGAAAACAAAGTTGGATAAACTAGTCTCTAGTCTGAGGGAAGAGGACGAATATTCCATCCATCCTCCATCATCCTCCTGGAAGCGCTTTTACAGGGCCTTTTTAGCAGCCTATCCCTTTGTAAACATGGCCTGGGAGGGCTGGTTTCTCAGCCAGCAGCTGTGCTATATCCTTGGTAAGGCTCAGCATCATTCCCCACTGCTGGGCCTGGCTGGTGTACACCTGGTTAGGCTGACAGCAGAGGACATCCAGGCATTGGAGCAGAAACTAGCAGTAGCTACTGCAAGTCAGCAGCCAGCTCACAGGTAAGTTAGAAAGGAGCCAGACAAATACAGCTTAGAATTATTGCAGTGTTATGTGGGAATATTCGGGGCTGTCTTTCTATTCCCAGATAGTGCTTTAGCATAAAACTGTCTGTGTTAAGAGGTACCATATGGGGGTCAAACAGGGCTCCTATTATTGTCAAATGTGTTTCCTGTATATTTAAAAGCTCAATGTGACCACCTTTGAAAGGGGGAGCAGAGTCTAGTAGCCTGCCTGTCCGAGTTAACTTCAGAGGTCCCTGACTGCAAAACTGCCTTAACTTGCAGTGAACAATCTCTGTGACCTGTTCAGTCCTTGGGTAGTCTTCTGAGATTGCCACCAAAGAAGTGGGTGGGACCAATTGTCCACCAGTGGACTGGGACTAGCAATTCTGTTCCTACAGAAATCCTGAACAGAAGGCAATGCGTTTTGGACCCTCCCAATGTGAGCCTGCTTTGAAACAATAAACCACGGGTGAATTCCTTTGTACCCCAATCCTTTTCAACCCCAGTCCTTCCACCTGGGCCTGGACCTACTTTCCAAGTTTTAAAAAGTTCTGTGCCCCATGCACCAACTTACACCTCCCTAAAATACCGATGTTGTTCATTTCCTCAGTTGATTCTAAATGTTGTAAACATCAACACATTTGTAACAAGGTATCTTTTTAAAAAGCAGTAGCTGACTAGCCCTGAAGTCTGTCTAGTATGCACAGTCAGGTACTGCCTCTGCCCTATTGTCTACCCGCACTATTAGTTTGCACAGGTGCCTAGGCTGGGTGCTAATTATCTGTCTGTACCTTATCTCCCTGCTGCAGCATTAAAGAGCAAGTGCAATCAGCAGTGAAAAAAGCATTGGGAGGTGTTGCCTTATCCCTGTCCACCAGCCTCTCCGTGGGCGTGTTCTTCCTGCAGTTCCTGGACTGGTGGTACTCATCGGAGAACCAGGAGACCATCAAATCATTGACTGCGTTGCCTACTCCTCCGCCACCCGTACACCTGGACTACGGCACAGGCTCACCTCTCTTACCAAAACTGAAGACGGTGTGCCCGTTGTGCCGCAAAATCCGAGCCAACGACACAGTCCTCTCCACATCCGGCTTTGTGTTTTGTTATCGCTGTGTCTACACTTATGTAAAGAGTCATCAAAGGTGCCCTATCACCGGCTATGCAACAGAGCTGCAGCACCTTGTTAAGCTGTACTCCCCTGAAAGCTGAAGGGAGTGCACGGCGCTGACGCTTACAAAGCAGATAAATAATTGGTTTAGGCACTATATACTCTAGGTTCTTGTACGTGGAACACAACTTTTGTGCCAGCCGGACTGCGTATAACATTACTAGGGCACTAAAAGGTACAGTGACCGTTTACTAGCAGAGTAATCAGGCTTTAAGGCACATTTGGACACTAAGTGCAGCAGCACTAGGGTTTTTGTTGCCTTAAATGCTGCTCTATCCAATTCTGAGATGCCAGGGCTAGGTTGACAGACTCTCAACCAGAAGGCTCTGGTATTGACCGCTGTCAAAGGCAGATACAGGCCTAAATAAACCACTGATCAGCTCCAGCCTGGCACTTCCTATGTTCTCCCAAGCTCTGCTTCCAGACTACTCCATCTTGGAATTCACAAGAGCATTTACAGAACAGGGCTGTGCCCCCAATTCATATCAGTTTGCCATAAATTTAGGCTTCTTCCCCTCCCCCCATCTTCCCTTGGACAACTCAGGGGTGAAGTTAGCAAGCCAGGCAGCACAAGCACAAACCAGGGAAAGGATGCCCTCTGTCTGAAGTGGGTTTATTGAGCATATGTGACTGAAGCCAGATAAAAACTGGAACCATACCAGAATAGATTTGCTTTGTTAGCGATTACGGACTAGCAAAGCTGCTTCTCTTCCTATCTATCATGATACTGGGAATTAGGACTTAACTAGACTCATTCCACTTCTGTTATCTAATGGTTTAAACTACTGGTAAACTGCTCATCTGAAAGTTTATATTTGCATGAAGTGAATCAGACTGTAGCTGCTTTCATCATAATATATGGACAGCTGGTGGGAACCCAATGGCTCAAAGTAAAATCACGCAGGGTGGAAATTGTAATCAGAGAGCAGTGCCCTCCTACTGAAGAGGAGCCAAGACTTAGGCTGCAGTTTGCCAGTTTTAATTAGGACTGGTGTAGTGTAGCTTCATTTAGCATCTTAAGACCATTTGGTCATACTGAAACGTTTCCTTTGATCTCTAAGCAGGCAGAATATAGAAGTTGACTAGAGGTGATTTTAAGGTGATTTCTGCTTCCACAGCACTTTGGTTGATTTAGTTAAGCACACTTAATTTTAGCCAGTTTAAAGGAGTGGCTTTTCATGAAGTGTGAACCTTGTTTTCTACTGAAACTACAGAGGGCAGCAGTAGACTATCCTAGCTGGTATGGTATTACAATACATTATAGAAACAGCAGTTTAGCCTTCTAACAACTTCCTTCAAAGAAGTTGTACAATCTTTTCACATCAAGAGCCAAGCTCTTTTTTTTTTTTTTAAATCCTTTGAGGCACAAGAAGGGTCCTTAACTCCTGTACACTGTTAAAGTGAAAGCCATCACTTTAGATACCAGACCAGTGCTAATGGCTACCTCTATCTTTGGAGGCATATTAATAGGAAGGCAGGCTCATTTTGCTGCCTCCACAAATAGTTATGGGATCTATAAATATAGACACTTCACCAGCTTCAGGGAGCTCATGCAAATACACCTTATTGGGGGAGAAAAAAAAGTCACATTCAGTGAAAGGTTATTCAAGATTAAGTAGATTTTACAAGGCTTTAATATAGCTCAGATTTGGAATTAATTCATATCATCCATTACATCTTGATTCAGCAAATATTTCCCAACAGTTGTTACATTTTTTCTGAAAAACTGATAACCAAGATGCTCCAGGAGAACAATACAACCTTACAACATGGCCAGCCCCAGAAGGTTTGATTACACCCATCTACAAACATAGTCCCACTGACTCCAGTGGGACTGCTCATGTAAATAAAGGCTACCAGACTGGGGCTAAAGTGTTTATTGAAAAGGTGGTTTTAGGGTTAATTTTTTGCCAGGGTCTTTTGGTGTCCAGTAGTGCCCCTCACTCTCAGCTAGCACAAGTGAAGAAAACAGTTTGTCTCCTTATTGCAGCCCATGACTGATCACTGACATTTCTGTTGAATTATGCTTAGTCCTATGGACTTTGAACCTTTTATGTTAATTTTAAATCAGTGATTCATTAGTGTCATGACCTAAGATTTATATAATTTTAAAGTTAGTATAGTAACTCTTCACTTAAAGTCGGCCCGGTGAATATTGTTTTGTTGCTGATCAATTAGAGAACATGCTCATTTAAAGTTACGCAATGCTCCCTTATGTTATTAAGCAGCCACTTGCTTTAGCCACTGCTTCCAGAAAGAGCAGCCTGTTGAGCTAGCTGGTGGGGGCTTGGAACCAGGGTGGACCCCCCCCCCCAGCTCCCGTAAGTTCCCCACAGAGCAAGGGGCTATGACAGGGCTCAGCATGGAAGGAGCTTGCCTTTTTAAGTAGATCAGCAAGTTGAGACAGCAGCTGCTGCCAGCAGTGTACTTAGAGTGGGGTCAGCATACCTAAAGGAGCAATGCGCATCTCTCTCTTACACATGGTGTGTGTCTGTCTTTCTGCCATGCTGTCATCATTGTTGTGTACAGTATTAACTTTTGTTTAAAGTTTTTTTATTTATTTTACACACACACAGTATATGAATATGATGTCTTGTCTGGTGAAAAAAAAAGTCCCTGGAACCTAACCCCCCACACTTTACATTAATTCTTATGGGGAAATTGGATTAGCTTAACATCATTTCACGGGAACATAACTACAACGTTAAGTGAGTTACTGTACATGACACTGGAACTTCAGTCTGTATTTTCACTTCAATGATTGTTTTAAGTAGCAAAATAATAAATCTTTTTCTACCCCGGCACCTCTTTCTAATGAGCCACAGAGGGGTAGCCGTGTTAGTCTGAATCTGTAAAAAGCAACAGAGGGTCCTGTGGCACCTTTGAGACTAACAGAAGTATTGGGAGCATAAGCTTTCGTGGGTAAGAACCTCAC